CTGCCCCGCTCCCGGGCACCGAGGCCGGGGATGTGCGCCCCGCCGCCCGGCGCCTCTAGAGAGGTCGGGAGACAGCCCGGTAGGGAGGCGACACCGGGGGCTCGCTGTGCGGAGTTGCTTCCCTGCCCTGGCCTCGCCCTAGGCCAGCAGGTGACCCATCTGCGCTGGCCCTGCCCTTCACCCCTCAACTCCCACCTCCAAGGCCCCGCTGTCAGGAATAGCCAGACTGGGGGGGGCGCTGTGGGGTCTGTGGAGTCTCTGAACCCTGCCCCCCCAGCCCCTCCTGTCTGTGCTGAGATCCCCCAGTCTGTCTGGGCAGGTGCATGCCTGGGCTCCGTCCACGCCCTGAGCGAGGCGGAGCGTGGCCGAGGCTGATCCCAGGCCTGGCCGGTGGCTGTGCTGTGCAGCACGGTGCTCCACCCGTGTCTTCCCAGGTGGGAAGAGAAGAGCCAGAGCAGAGTGAAGTGGAGGCAGCTGGAGCACAGAGGCCCGCTCTTCGCCCCTGCCTACGAGCCGCTTCCTGACGGAGTGCGCCTCTTCTACGATGGTGAGAGTGGGTGTGCTCTGGGTGCCGCCTCCCGGCCGCCGTGTCCCTGGGGATGTCTCAGCCCGTGCGTCCGGATGCCCGCAGGAAGGCCTGTGCCGCTGAGCTTGGCAGCCGAGGAGGTGGCCACTTTCTATGGGAAGATGTTGCATCATGAATATACAACAAAGGAAGTTTTCCGAAATAACTTCTTCAAGGACTGGAGAAAGGTAGGTGGTGGCGGGGGCGGGGGCGGGGGCGGGCGCGGCTGCCCCAGGCCGGCTGGTGCGCTGTGAGGCGGTGGTGCCCAGCCAGCTGCCATCCCTGCACCTTTCCAGCCCGCAGCGGCCATGAGTGTGTGCAGCATGGGCTGTGCCAGGACGGGCAGAGGGAGCAGAGCTGTGTCTCCTGTGACCTCTCACCTCCCACGGCACGTCCAGGACAGGCCAGCTCTTGAGGAGGAATGTTGGAGGAGGCCAGAGGCATTTTTTTAGTATCTTCAATTAACATGTCCGTGTATGTGTGCAGTGCATCTTGGTCCATTCCATTCTTCCCCTGCCCGCCGATCTGAACCCCATCTGTCTCCTAAAGTGTCCCAGTTCCAACTTCCCGCGTGCACAGTGAGAGTCAGGACTGGCCTTCCTCTCCGTTGCTCTGCGCCTCTCCCCTCCGCTCCTCCCCGCCTGAGTCTAGCCGTGCTGCGCTTCCCTCTGGTGCCTGTTCCAGGGGTTGCACCATGACTCGCCCTCCTCAGAGACCGTCACGACGTGCCAGTCCTGGGGCTTAATCTCAGGGCCTGGGCCTGAGCCTTTCTGAGCTGTTAGCCTCCCTACCTCACCCACCCTGACCCCTCTGGTCAGGAAGAAGGGGCGTAGACTTGATTAGTGCCAGCTGAGTTCTGGGAGGTTGGGTTCACTGTCGGAAGGTTGGCGCTCTGCCAGTGGGGTCTGCAGTGGGAGTGGGGATACGGGTTCTCAGGCTGTGGGGGCTCTGTCGTGCGGTCCTGTGCGTCTGGTGTGTGTGCTGGAGCCTCACCTGAGGAGGGGCAGGACCGGGCACCCGCTTGGAAGTGGCATTTGGAATGCCGCAGGTCTGGGTTGCTTCCTGCAGGAGCAAGGCTCAGAGACCACGCGTCAGTCCTGAAATCCGGGCTGTGCCCCGTGCACGCTCTTCCCTACACAATCCTGGTAGTGGTGTGTGCCGTGTGCACACCTACATTGCGTGCGGCCCCTGGAGGAGCTGCTCCCAGCAGCAGAGGTCATGTGCGTGTGGCCTGTGCCAGCGCCCCGTGCGTGCCAGCGCCCCGTCCACTGGGCCCTGCTCCCACAGCTGCTGGAGGCCGGTCGCCTGACCGCCTCCTGCTCCTGAATGCTGTGAGGTGCCGGCAGTGGCCCCGTGGGGTGCCTGCGGGGGTGAGTGGGGCTGAGAGCACGTCTCCGGCCCAGGAGATGACCCTGGAGGAGCGGCTGCTCATCACGCACCTGGACAAGTGTGACTTCACGGAGATCCACAGATACTTCGTGGACAAGGCTGCAGCCCGGAAAGCCCTGCCCAAGGAGGAGAAGCAGGTGGGGCACCTGGCACGCAAAGCTGCCCTCCACCCAGCCTGAGGCCTGAGGACCTCTGGCAGGCCCCCGAACTGCACTCCACCTTCACACCTTTTAATGCGATCAGATGCAGTTCCATTTTCTTGGAGTACATCCGAAAGAAGTGGGCGGGCGAGGGGTCTGAGGCAGAGGTGTGGGGGTCGGGCGCTTCCTGGCTTACTGACCCTCTCAGGGCTGTGAGGGACTCACTGCCTCGAGTGCTACCATGTTCCCTCTGATGGGATGCGCAGCAGAGGCGGGGGGGGGGAGAGGGGAGAGGGGCCCCCTGCCCCCAGCCTCCCTGAGAGCCAGGGCTGAATGATCTAGCTGACCTTCTCATACTGACCTCCACATACTGTTTTCTTAAACCAGAAACTAAAAGAAGAGGCAGCAAAGCTTCAGCAGGAGTTTGGCTACTGTATTCTTGACGGCCACAGGGAGAAAATTGGCAATTTCAAGATGGAGCCTCCTGGGTTGTTCTGCGGCCGTGGTGAGCACCCCAAGATGGGCATGGTGAAGAGGAGGGTCCTGTCCGAGGACGTGGTCATCAACTGCAGCAGGTAGGGGCGCCGCGGGCCAGGCTGGACCTTGGTCACCTCATCTTGCCCTTCTCCTTTGCTCTCGCACCCTGTCCCCTGCATCTCAGCACCATGGGGCTCTGGGGCCAGTGCTGTGCCCGTCAGCACAGCCTGGGCGTGGCGCCGGTTACACTCCTCGGGGCCTGGCGCTGCTCTCAGCTCTTCAGCTTAAGGCTCAGAGCTCTGCCACTTGAGCCACAGCGCAACTTCCAATTTTCTGGTAGTTAACTGGAGGTAAGAGTCTCATGGAGGGCTGGGAAGGTGGCTCAGTGGTAGAGCGCTTGCCTTGCATGCCAGAGGCCCTGGGTTTGATTCCTCAGCACCACATAAGAAAAAAAAAAAGAGTCTCATGGATTTTCCTTCCCTGGCTGGCTTCAAATCAGGATCTTCAGATCTCAGTTTCTTGGGTGTGTAGGGTTATGGGTGTGAGCACCAGTGCCAGCTCCCGTCAGAACGTTTGAGTTGGGGACTGGGATGTAGCTCAGTGGCAAAGCGCTTGCCTAGCAATGCAACATTCTAGGTTTCATCCCCAGTACCAGAAAAGAAAAGACAAAAAAAAAGTTTAAAAAAGTTCTCGAGTTGGTGCCAGTGGCTCATGCCTGGGATCCCGAGAGACTGAGATCTCAACTCGAGCTGGAAGACAGTCCCGGCAGAGTCTACGAGACCTTTATCTTCAATTAACGAGGGAGAAAACCAAACAAATGGAGTTGTGGTTTGATTGGTAGAGCACTAGCCTTGAGCAAAAAAGCTAAAGGAGAGTAACTTGGTCCTGAGTTTAAACCCAGACCCCCACAAAAAAGAAAAAGAAAAAGAAACTTGTGTCATTTTGCTGGCTGTGGGGCCCCTTCCTCCAGGGGCTCCCTGTGTTGTCAGTGCACTGCGCTTTGGGGGTGCTGTGCTGCTGCTACTTAAGGCTGCACAAACCCGCCCCCAGATGCCGGCCCCACAGCCCCGGGGTCAGGGTTGTGGGCAGTGGTGGAGCTGAAGCCGCAGAGCTCCCTGCAGAGCTGCTGGTGATGCTGTGTCGCTGCTGGTCACGTGTGCACGTACACGTGTGTGTGTGTGTGTGTGTGTGTGTGTGCGTGCTCGCGAGTGCGTGTGTGTTTGCCTGTGGAGATTTTTCTGAGCAGTGGGGTGCTTGCCCACACAGAGCCCTGCCACAGGCCATGGCCACGGCGAGGGGAAGTGTGCAGATGCTCACTCTGCATGTCCTACTTGCCGCTGTCCTGCAGGGACGCCGTCCCCGGGCCCCCAGTGGGCCACCAGTGGAGAGAGGTGTGCTCAGACACCACAGTGACGTGGCTGGCGGCGTGGACGGAGAACATCCAGAATCGCACCAAGTACATCGCTCTGAACCCCAGCTCCAAGCTGAAGGTGAGGCTGGGGGCCTTCCAGAAGCCCCGCACCACAAGCCTGCAGCGCCCCTGGGTCGTCCTTTCCAGAGAGGCCGGTGGAGGGCGCCGCCTCCCACACGGTCCAGCCAGGCTCAGAGCCCCAGGCCCAGCCGCCGCACGTCTGCCACGGGAGCCCGGGCCGTCCGTCCTCGTCACTGTCCATCCCCTGTGCCTGGACTCTGCTGTGTGGCTGCCCACCGGTGTGGCCGCCAGGGACGAGAGTTCCCTCCTTCTTCCTTTGGCTTAGGGGGAAAAAGACCGACAAAAATATGAGGTCGCGCGCCGCCTTGGGGGGCTTGTGGATGAGATCCGCGCTCAGTACCAGGCCGCCTGGGAAGCCCCAGAGGTGAAGACAAGGCAGCGGGCAGTGGCCCTGTATTTCATCGACAAGGTAGGGGTGTACTGAACCACTGGGGGTTTCTGCAGTGTGTGTGCGCGCGCACGTGCGTGTGAGTGCATACATGCATGTGTGTGATGGTTCTTCCTGTGTAGGTGTGTGAGTGCATGTGTGTGCATGCGTGTGCCACCACTTGGATGGTTCTTCCCGTGCATGTGTGTACACACACACGTGTGTGCGTGTGTGCACGTGTGTGCCACCGCTCTGATGGCTCTTCCCGCCCAGCTGGCACTTCGAGCAGGACACGAGAAGGAGGACAAGACGGCGGACACGGTGGGCTGCTGCTCCCTCCGCGTGGAGCACGTGCGGCTGCATGCGCGGGCTGCCGGCCGCCAGCACGTGGTGGAGCTGGATTTCCTGGGAAAGGACTCCGTCCGCTACCATCAGCTCGTGTCAGTGGAGGAGCCGGTGAGCGCCCTGCCCCGTGACCTCGAACACGTGGGTGTTCAGTGCAGTGTCTCAGTTGGGAGGGAAGAGCCAAGTGAGAGCTGTCTTGGGAAGTCATGGGTCAAAGTGGAGGAGGGCCACGCAGCTGTGCTTGCCCGGGGTTTGGGCTGGTGGGGAGGACGGTGTGTGCTCCCGGAAGGGATGGGAGGAGGGAACCCGGCACAGCCCTGATGGATCTCGTGTGGCTCGCCTGGTCCCAGGCCAGGCTCAGACCGATGGAATTGGTGGCAGAGGTTGGCTGGGGCAGGCTGCCCGCGGGTCCGTGGGGCTCAGGAGCCACGCTCCAGCCTGGAGCACACGGCCCCGGATGCACCAGCGGGGCCAGGCGGGGCGGGAAAGATGGCAGTGCCACGGGCTGTGGTGTGGGCCTGGCGGCTGAGGTACACAGCTCTTTCTGGGCCTGGTCTGTGTCTTTTCCTGTCTCCAGGAGACCTGTCCCTCCTCGGTGGCTTCAGCTTCAGGCGTCTTCTTGTGGCTGCAGATTAATCTCTCCTGTGTCTCAGGTGTTCAGGAACCTGCAGCTGTTCATGAAGAACAAAAAGCCCAGGGACAGCCTCTTCGACAGATTGACCGTAAGACCGTGTGTGTGTGTGTGTGTGTGTGTGTGTGTGTGTGTGTGTCTGTCTGTCTGTCTGTCTGTCTGTCTGTCTGTCTGTGTGCCAGTAGTGGGTCTTGAATTCAGGACTTGGACACTGTCTCTGAACTTCTTCACTCAAGCCTAGCACTCTTACCACTTGAGCTGCAGCTCCACTCCCAGCTTTTTGGTGTTTAGTTGGAGCTAAGAGTCTTTCTTGCTTTGGGTGGCATTGAACGGTGATCCTCAGATCTCAGCCTCCAGCATAGCTAGGATTGCAGGCGTGAGCACCGGCGCCCCCGGCTGCCTGTGTTTTTGGTGCAGTTGTGCAGGACAGAGCCCCTGCAGGGGGAGGAGCTGTGCTCTTGACAGAAGCAGGTTCCTTGCTTTGCCTGTCCCCTCCCCGCCCCCAGGCTGGGAGTGGCCCGGGAACTGTCCCCAAGGAACCCTGTTGATGATCCCATGTCTGCTGTCCCCAGACCTCCAGTCTGAACAAGCACCTGCAGCATTTGATGCACGGGCTGACGGCGAAGGTGTTCCGGACGTACAATGCCTCTGTCACTCTGCAGGAGCAGCTGCAGGTGCTGACCCGCGGTGAGCAGAGCCCGCTGTGGGCATCCTGATGCCAGGCCAGGCTGGTCCCTGGGAGTCACTGAGATGCAAGGCCTGGACTGGGCATGTGTGGAGCTGGAGCTGGGTGCCTGGCCATCTGGGTGGTGGAAGGATGCTTGAAGGCCTGTGCCAAGTTCTGGGAGGGCGGGCGGACGGGCCGGAGGCACTGGCCCGGCCGGGCAGTCCAGGGTGTGAGCTGCCCATTCCCCTCTTCCCGCACTCTTAGGGCCCTCAGCAGATTCCACCCTGCCTCCTGCAGGCTGGTCCCTCTCCGCTCCTTGGCTCTTAGAGGGTCCTGATGGGCCTCTGCCCCTCCCCCCTGCCAGCGGCACCCCAGCCCACTGACTTCTTTTTCTTCCCTAATTTAGATGTGCAGTGGGGCAAAGAAGTTTCCAGAGTGCCCTTTCCCTTCACCCGGCACAGCAAAGCCATTCCCTAGCCCCCGCTCCCGGGCATCCTGTCCTCAGGCGGCACAGGCCCTGGGGCGTGGGGTGCAGTCAGTGCCGTGGGTGGACGGCTGGCCGAGGCCAGTGTGCTGTGAGCTGAGGCTGGCCACAGGGTTGGGTTGGATCAGCATCCGGGGGCTCCTGACAAGGCCCTCAGGGGGCCAGGGACCCCACAGCCAGAGGAAAGATGGGGGCAGAGGAGCCCGCTTCCCCACACTGCCATGCAGCTGGTGGGGTGCAGCTGCTGGGGTCTGGGGCGCCCTGCTGGGCGTCCGCCTGCGGTGTGTGTCTCCGGAGGGACTTGGATGTCCCCAGCCCATTTCCTGGTGGCATGTGTGGGAGGATGTCACCAGTGAGGCCGGGCCCTGGGGTCTGGGTGGTGACGAGGGGCTTGTGTTAGGGTCCCCAGACCCCCCAGGGCCCTCACTGCTGCCCCGCCTGCCCTCTGCCCCCACCCCCGGCTCCTGCTAGCTCCCAACCCCGTGCCCCGCTGGTGACGGGGTCTACTGGGTGCCCCACCCCTGCCAGTGTCCTGGCCTGTGACTGTCAGAAAGATGGGCCAGGCCGGGTGCAGCTCAAACAAAACACAGGCCAGGTGGGCAGACAGAGCGACTGACCATTGCTGTCTCTCAGCTACAGACAGCCAGGCCGACAAGGTCCTGGCCTACAGCCGGGCGAACCGGGCGGTGGCCATCCTCTGCAACCACCAGCGCGCCACTCCCAGGAGCTTTGAAACTTCCATGCAGGCGCTCCGCAGGAAGGTGTGGAGGCTACACTGCACCTCTCGCCCGCCCCCTGGGGCAGGGGGTCCTGGAAGGGGGCAGAGGTGCTCCCAGGAATCAGAGCTGCCTGGGGGGCGCAGCTCAGGTGTAGCCAATCCCTCCCTGCGCAGGTGGCCAGGATGCAGAAAGGGGTGGAGTGTTTGCAGGGCAGGTCTGGTTGGGACCCGTGGAGGCTGTCCCTCGGGGCGGGTCTGGGTGGTACAGGAGAGGCCCTGCCTAGACCCGTTTCTTCTCAGATCGAGGCAAAGGAGGCCCAGGTGGCTGAGGCCCAGGAGGAGCTGCAGAGGGCCATGGCCAGCCCCAGGACCGGAGGGGACAGCAAGTCCAGGAGGTGCGTGGGGGCAGCGCCTTGACCCCGGAGCCCCAGCGTTGGGGGGGGGTCAGCCTTCCTTTGCAGTGTTTTTGTTTCCAGCTATCGTTCTGTGGCCCTTAAGGGCACAAGCTGTTGCTACTGTGGACAGAAACGGCGGGGAACCCTGGGCAGCCCTGGCCTCCCGTGGGCTGCGCAGGCGGGCTGCTCCCTGTGTGTGGCATGGTCTTCTGGCACCTCATCACCAGAGGTGTGGCCACCATTGTCTATTCTCGGGAAAGCAAGTCCGCGTCCATTGGGCTGTGGTTGAATCTTTAGAGCAGGCTTGCATGGTACAGGTCTGTCCGGGCTCTTGCTGTTCTTCCCCTGTGGACTGTGACCTGTGGGTGTGGAGGAGGTACTGGGCGGGTGGACCACAGTAGGCGGTCAGCTCCGGCCTCCAGTGTGGGTGCCGAGAAGTACCCTGTGTGTCTCCGGTGCTCTGTCTCCCTGCAAGTGGGCATAAGTCTGATGTTTGTCTCGGATCCTGGTGTTGGTTCGTGTCAGCCCTGGAGCTGAGGCTCATATGAGCAAAGCCCCTGCAGGTGTCTCTGCACAGGACCCCGGCCTGGGTCCCAGTGTGTCATCCGATGTGGCTGTCGGCAGGGTGGCTTGGCGGAGGCAAAGGGTTAAAGGAGTACCTGTTTACAGTATGCAGCTTTGCTTCAAGAAGCAGGAAGGAGCCTGTGCTGCTGCACTTCGTAGAAAGAGGGCTGAGCATGTCCTCAGGCCCTCGGCCACTGGCCCTGGCCCCAGCCTCTGTCCTGGTCTGCTGCATCCCGAGTGCCCCCTCCCTGCAGCCGCCCCTCCCACCCTGCAGCCCCGAGGGTGCAGGCAGCTGTGCTGTGTGTCTGATGTGGCTGCTGGTTCAGGACTGCTGGGCTTTGATCTGTGGCCTCCTGCCTCTGCACTGGGCAGCTGTGGCCGGGCGGGGAGGTCGGTGCAGGTCTTGGGCCTCCTGTCTTCCGCCAGGTTATTGCAGCAGCGGCAGCAGCGGCTGCAGCGGCTGAGCGGACAGCTGGCGCGGGCGCGGGCCCAGGCCACGGCTAAGGACGAGAACAAGCAGGTGGCGTTGGGCACGTCCAAGCTCAACTACCTGGACCCCCGGATCAGCATTGCCTGGTGCGTGGGCCTCAGGCCACAGTGCCTAGTGTGGTCTGGCTTTTCCAAGGGGACCTGGTTTGGGCCCAAGGACATGCCGTCCCGGGTGCAGAGGCCCGTGTCTTCCCTTCCCTGAGCTTTAGGATGGTTTGGGGTGGGGCGGGCAGAGCTGGGGACATGGGGTCACCCAGTACCCACTGGGAGTGGGGGCGGCCGGCCTGAGGATGCCCGTGCTGTGGCTTCGGTGCCAGCGGGGTGGGTGTGCTGATGGGTGCTCGGGTCTCTGGTCCCCTGCACGAGGGCTGCTCTCTTTCCTGGCTTTGGCCTTCACGCAGGATGTGGCTGATGTCCTGCAGGTGTAGGAGGTTCGGGGTGCCTGTGGAGAAGGTCTACAGCAGGGCGCAGCGGGAAAGGTTCGCCTGGGCCCTGCAGGAGGGGGACGAGCACTTCCAGTTCTAAGCGAGCTCTGTCGCTACTGAAGCAGCGCTGGAGGCTGGGCAGGCAGATGCGTCGTGCGGGTGCACTGATGCAGAGCCGGACCCTGGCCCGTCCTAGGCAGTGCCCAGCACACTCGCAGCTGAACCGGCCATGGGCGCAGGGCGGCTGCAGGTCTACCTCCCCCAGGCCCGGTGGAGCCCAGGCCTCCCCGCCAGGAGTCTTCTCTAGCTGCAGCCCCACACCGGCCACCAGGCTTGGGATCCGATGGAAGCTTGCGTGTGGGCCGCGCCTGCTGTGACCGTGCAGCCCCTCTGATGCTGGCTGAAGGTCTGGCTGCACTTGGTACACGTGTAGAGGCTCTCGCCATGTTGAGTCCTCAGGTGCCCAAAGCCCGGAGTAGTGGACGAAGGCCCTGCCACACTTGCTGCGGTCCCGGGATGCTGGGTCGAGTGACCGCTGGCTTAAGGCCTTGCTACTCTGTAGCAGCCTCCTGCTTCTAAAGTGCCTTCCTGTAACCTCAGCCTGGCAGCAGGCTGCCTGCCCCACCGCTTGCTGCTGGCTCGAGGGCTAGTCTGAGGACAGCTGCACAGCCAGACACGGATGGCCTCAGACGCAAGAAGGCATGTGAGTCCGAGAAGGCGCCGGCACTCTGGTGGAGACCGAGCAGCCGCGCAGTGGGTGCCGATATTCCTGTCCAGCCCCCCACCCCTGCATCCTCCCAACACCCAGGACCATGGCACGGGTGAGGGATGGGTCTGAGGGGACGTCTCTGGTGACCAGGAGTGGGCTGAGCTCCGGTCTTCACCTGCCCCCTTGGGGCTGACATGGAGCCTGGGAAGCACTGGCTGAGACGTGCGAAGCAGAGCAGGGAGGCACACCGACGAAGGTGACCGCCAGGGAGCGTGTCCAGTGCCAGCTTCTTTTTTGGGCTTGGACAGGACAGCCTGCCTTACCTGCTCCCAAACCCCTCAGCAGAGCATTTTTGGGGTGCACAGGAGGCCTTGCTTAGGTAGCCAGTACTGAGAACTGCCCAGCGTCCCCCAGGGCTTGTGGGCTGAGCACCAACGGTCTTTGTTTGATACCAGGGTGGACCATGTGGCCACTTAAATAAAGATGTCAGATGCTACACGTTACCTGCACTCTTTCCTGAGGCCAGGAGCTCCAGCAGGGGGTGGCACGGGGCAACGGTCCGCCCAGTGGGCACGCCAGCCTGAGGAGCCCTCTGGTGCCTCTAGGCACTCCCACGGGAGGAGGGGGGATGTGGGAGGCCTGGCCTGTGGTGGGCCATGGCAGGGCAGTAGGCCCAGGTATAGATAGGGAGGGCAAGGCTGGGCATGGTGCTCAGAAGTTTCCTGAGACCCACTCCCTGGCACTGTTTGGCAGACCTGAAAGCTAAGCAACCTGCTATGAAGAAAGCTGGTCAGAACTGCAGCGAGGCGTCTGACGGAGCAGCCTGGGTGCTGAGGCCTGCGGCCTCCTGATGGAACCCAGGCCACTCTGGGGGGAGGGGGTGTCCCCACTGGAGGAACAAACTTTTCCTAAGCCAGGCGCACAGGCGCACAGGCCCAGAGGCCCAAACCAGGTCGCAGCAGCCTCTCTGACCAGGCCGGGAGGACCACGCTCCTGCTTGAGGATGGAGGGTTGGCGGGGTAGAGGGTAGAGGGTTTGGGCCCAGTGGGCTGTAGGGAGAACCCCACAAATAAGCCCGGTGTTTGGGGGCTGGAGGGCGGTACGCATTGGCCAGTGCCCTCACCGGGGGCCGAGCGACCTTACAGCGAGGGAGACACTCATCGCACTCATGGGGGCCATTATGGGACCCCTCTTCCTTCCTCGACCGGAGCCCAGCATCTCCCTCTTCCCCGGCTCCGAACTGGGGGTGCTGGGCCATCTGGGGTTCCCAGGGCGGGGGGGGGCAGGGCAGCACCGCGGCTGGCGGAGGGGGGCTGCCCCAGGGCTCAGCGCTGGCGTTGGAGGGGGCGTCGTCCACGCACACTGCGGGCACGGGAGGAGCCTGGCTGGAAGTGCCCTCCCGCCGCCCTGCGCTTCCGGGCCCCTCTGGGTGCTGGAGGACTGGAGGACCTTGCCTCAGTGGCCTGCGGGACAGTCTCGGGCCCCGCGCCGCCCTGTCCCCCTCCCTGGGCTCTGCGTCCTCAGGCTGTCAGCCCCCAGCTCGCTCACACTATGGCCCGGGCCCCGGGCGTGGTGGAGAGGCAGGCCCTGACTCCCGGAGGCTGTGACCAGAACGGCTTCAGGGCTCGGTGCGTGGCCCAGGCTGAGCAGGAGCCAGGCTGGTGCAGACCCGGCTGGGCACGGGAGGCCCTGGCCGGACCGGCCGCCCCACGCAGAGCTCCACCCAGGCCCCCGTTTGTGCAAGAGAGCGGGGTGCAGGCCTGTCCCCTGGTACCCGTGCGGAGGCCCGGGCATCTGACCCGGTGCCCCGCCTTGGGGCTGCTGTGCACACCCTCGAAGCCTGGCGTTCCACATGCTGGCCTGAGCTGGCTCTTACTACCCATGCCAGCCAGGAGCTCATTGAATCCTGTAAGGTCTGCACAGGGACACCTCCCTCCCTCTCGGCTAAGTCTCCACCCAGTATCTGTTACCTAGGTACCGAGCAGACCTGGAAGCAGTCATCTCCTCTGCTAGGTCACATCCTGGGCCACCTCTGGTCACATGCCTCCCATCTGACCTTAGGAGCGTCCTAGATCCTGAGGTCACATTCAGATCCAGTGTGGCCACACCTTTTCCTGTCCCTGACCTAGATAAGTCCTGGCCCAGGAGTGGGTCCCCCCCTCCTTCCTTTTTAGCCATGCTTTCCCTCCATGCTTGGAGGGGGCAGCAGTTTGGTAAATAAACTTCTTTTCCTGCCTGAATAGTGCGTGGTGTTCTCTTCATTGGCTACCTAATGAAACCTACCTATTTAATATACCTTACAAATCCTGGCTGCCCGAGAGGCTGAGATTAGAGATCAGTTCAGTCAGCCTGGGCAGACAAATCTGTAAGACCCTTATCTCCAACTAACCAGCAAAAAGCTAGGTATGAAGGTGTGGTTCAAGTGGTGGAGCACTAGCCTTGAGCAAAAAAGCCAAGCATGCATGAGGCCTTGAATTCTAGCCTCAGCACTGGCACATAAATGCTGCTCACAGGGAAAAAGGAAGGGTCTGAGTTGGCCATCCGGACCCAGGAAGCAGGGGGTCAGTGGAGCTGTCTGTGGCTGCCCCCTATCAGCTGCAGAACCCTCCACCTCGGGACCCTGTGCTCCATCCTCAGCCTGGCTGCTCACAGGGGTGGAGAAGGGATCATGTGATTACAGAAGAGACCCCCATTAGGGAGGTACAGGGTGGCAGGAAGGGCCCTGGGACTGAGGAGCATTACTGACAAGGGGTTGGGCCTGGTTACCTCCCTGACTTAGTGGACTTAGAGTGACCCAGGCCCGTGGCTTGGCTTCTTCTTGGTAGTGTGGAAAGTTTCCACTGGATTTAAGATGAGAACATTAGAGCACAGTTTGCCCACTTGGCACATTACACAGCCTGATCTGCTCCTGCCTGCCCCTGGGCAGGCATGGGCACACAGCACCTACAACCCCCAGTAATCACCTGAACCCAAGTTCCCAAGCAGCTTGAGCTACACTGCAAGTACCTTGTGTGTGCGTGCGCATGCACATGTGCACACGTGTGTCACTGGAGTGGGGTCCCTCCTATGTTGTCCCTGGTGTGCCCCGCAGCTATTATTTCTGACATGCTGGCTCTTCTGAACTTGTTTAACGGGAGGATCCGAGTGACACAGCGCAGTCCATGTGCTGCTGGGACCCTGCTCCTGGGACTGGGGACCCGAGATACACGCACAGTTCCCTGCAGAGTGATTCAGTGTCCAACTTGGGGAAATCGCGTGACCCCAAACCACAGGGGGCTCAGAGGAACACAGCACACGCTGGAAAGATGTTTATGAGAAAATATATCTCCTCAGTCGGTGGGAAAGGCGGTGTACAGCAATGGAACTGTGGTGAGGCTGTCAGGGGCAGTAAGCACACGAGCAGAAAACACAAGGCCCACCCCAGTGCGCACAGTGTGTAAGGAGCTGAGGCTACAACAAGAAACACTGGACAAGACAGTATCTGTCACAACACAAAGCCAAGGTTGTGGCTGATTTGGGGGGTGCACAGGACACAGCAGTCACTGTATTTGGCACAAGGGCAGGAAGCATGGCCTGGGCATTTGGACACGCTAGGTGTCCCTGCACCAGGAGCCAGACACATGGAAGCAGCTGGGCACTGAGACACCAGCTCGTCTGTGTGGCTGAGGTACAGTGTGGAAAGGTGCCAGGACCCTGCAGCAACCTCAGGCCAGGCTGGCCAGGAGTCTCGCGAGTTTTGTCTGCAGGGCTCTGAGGAGGAACCAGAAGGCAAATCCCAAGCTCTGGAGGCCAAAGGCAGAGGTGTGGAGCTGCGTACTGGCCTGCAGCCAAGTGTGGCTCAGCCTGGAGTCTGCCCCGTCCTGAACACCGCCTCTCACCTTCCTCTGCAGCGTCTACCGGCTCAGCCCCTCGCACAGCAACTACCACCTGTTGGTGCCCAAACTGGGGCAGGCCCAAGTTGCTAGGAATGAAGTCCAGGCACAGCCTGACGCCACAGCCTGTCAGAAATGGGGGTGGAACAGGCCAGCCAGTCAGCCCCACCTGCCCCTGCACAGAAGAGAGGGGCCCAGCCCAGGTCCTTCCCAGCCCTGCTGGGCCTCCACATCCCACCCAGTGTGGGGACAGAGGGCATAGCCAGGGTGCTCACTGGACATGCACGACCACGTCTGTGGTCGGCGTTGAGAGGCCCGGCTGCAGCCTCGTGGTTGTCTTCCTGTAGGCCGAGGCCCGGGTGGGCAGAGATGCTGGACACGGTGGTGGGGGAGGGCAGTACCTCAACACCTTGTACTCCCAAGAAGGCCCTGGCTTTTGCTGACTACTTTCCTGCTATGAGAACGCTGATGCTTGGCGGGGTTCTCAGATTTTCCCCTGGGATACTGCTCAGATGTCCAGAAGGTTCTGAACACCCAGGTGGTCCACTGAAGGCCTTGATGAGGCAGTCAGGGCAGGGGCCTCTCCAGTGGGTAGCAGCTGACAGTGAGGACTGATGGCCACTTGTGCGGAGCTGCCCAATGGGGTCCTCTTGGCACACGAGGATGGAAAAAGATCACCTGCAGCAGCGTGGTTCTCCTGTGCAAAGCAGCTCTGGGCAAGGCCTCTCTGCCACTCTCTAGGGGTACAAGAGCCCCAGCTAGGCTGGCCCCACTGGGCTGTGTCCATGTGGGGCTCCTGTCTCCTCAAGGGGCTTCTGTTGGCGTGATCTGCGTTAGCAGCCTGGAAATGATGAGAAACAGCCTTGAGTAACCGAGGAAGCGTCGTTACTCCTGTTTCTTGGCTGGGAGAAGCAGCTAGCCCGGCTCACGTGCAGCTGGTCCTGCTGGTGAGCCTGGCCAAAGGCCTGAGGGCAGGGCTGGGGCCTCAGCTGTCGGTGTGAGAGCGCGCACGCGCACACACATGCCCGAGCGTGCATGTGCGGGGTGCACTTGCTACTTCTGGAACCTTGAGGTGGTGCAGCCTCGTGGATTGGGTGAAGCAGCAGATCTGACATTGCCAACCTGTCCTGCACGGCACGATGGACACAGCCTAACTCAGTTATGCCCAGTTCTGCTAGGTTTGAACTTGGCTCAGGCTTTCTGCTCAGTGGGCTGTACCATGTGCTGTCTCCCCTCTGCACAGGCGGGGGCTCACTGTGGAGGGATGGACACGCCCCTCCAGCCCTCTGACAGCAGCACGCTGCACCGTAAGGGCCCCCGGGTGGATGCACACGTTTCTCTGGGGTGAAGTGTGTGGTGTAGTAGGGAATGCAAACCTTCAACTTGCAGAGGGCGTTTACCACAAGACCCTGGAACAGTGTGGACACGGGTCTGAGGCTCCTCCATGCATGAATGATTAGATGTGCACATTTCACCACACTCTTCGATAAAAAGTTGTATCTCATTTTTATTCACTTACTTTATTTTTTGTTGGTTGTGGAACTTTGTTTTCTGGTGGCTAGTTGGAAATAAAGTCTTATGGACTTACCTGCCTGGGCTGGCTTTGAACCTTGATCCTCAGATCTCAGCCTCCTGATTAGCTAAAATTATAGGTGTGAGCCACTGGTGCCTGGCTCATTTTTAATTTTAGTGATGGTACTGGGCTTTTGCTCTCGTTTTGCTTTTCTGTTCACAGCTGCCATCCTATCACTTGAACCACACCTCCAGTATAGCATTTTGCTAGTTAACTTGAAGTAGTGTCTGGGACTTCGCTGTCCAGGATGGCTCAGAACTGCAGTCCTCATATCTCCGCTGCCTGAGTAGGTAGGATTACAGGCGTGAGGCACTGGCACCTGGCTTGTACCTCTTTTTTTTTGGTATTGGTACTGAGGCTTAAACTGAGGCCCTGGATGCTGACAGTCCACTTCTGGCTTTTCAGTGCTTAATTGGAGATAAGTCTCATGGCCTTTCCTGCCCAAGGTTGGCTTTAAACAGGCAGCCTAAGATCTCAGCCTCCTGAATGGCTAGGATTACAGCGTGAGCCACCAGTGCCCAGCTTGTACCTCATCTTTTTTCACTTGACTCAATAATGGAGATTAAGCATCTTTCCATATACTTACAAGCCATTCACACTTTAATGTGCAAACTGCCTGACTTTGGCTCATCTTTCTGTTTGGAGTCTTCAGAGTCTATAGATTGGGAATGATAGCCACTTGCTACAGTAGCCAGGGTAAGTATCTGGACACAATGACGAAAAGTCTCCAACTCATAACTTGAGTAGGGATAGGGCTCTCTCCTCCCACTTGTGCCTCTGCCATCTCTGAGACCTTCTAGGAGGCCAGGCCTGGGGCTGGAGTCAACCCTATCTGCAGACACTCTACTGCCAGAATTATTACGTCCATGGCCTTTACAGCTGCCAGAAGGTCTGGGGTCTGCAGCTTCCTATCTACAAGTTAGGTGAAGCAATTTCATGACCCTAAAGCATGCAATACTGACACAGCCAGCCCTGGGTTGTAGCATCATCTCCTACTGACCATCTGTGTGTGTCTGTGCATGTGTGTGCCACTCCTGGGGCTTCATTCAACTCAGGGCCTCATGCTCTGGCTGTGCTTTTTCTAAAAAGCTCATGGCTGGTACTCTATCACTTGGGCCATGACTCCATTTCCAGCTTTTTACTGGTTAATTGGAAATAATGATCTCTTGGAGTTATTTGCTCTGGGTGGCTTCAAAGGGAGATCTCAGATCTCAACCTCTCGATTAGTTAGGATTCTAGTAAAAGGCACAAGCACCCAGCTTGGCTATCCACATTTTTGTTGTTATTGTCATTAGTCATGGGTTTTGAACTCAGGGTTTGGGCACTGTCTCTGAGGGTTTTTAGTTGTTGATTTTTCTCAAGGCTAATGCTCTACCACCTTGAGCCATAGCTCCACTTTCAGTTTTCTGGTGGTTAATTGGAGATAAGTGTTGTTTGGACTTTCCTACCTGGTCTGGCTTCAAACTGTGATCCTCAGAGCTCAGTCTCCTGAATAGCTAGGATTATAGGTGTGGGCCACGGGCACCTGGTGGCTACCCACATTTTAATATGATTAAAATCACGATTGTTTTCCTTTGTGATCTGGTGAAGAATAGCCTTTCTAACAGAAAGAAGAGCTATTTATCAATTGTCTGTGATCTGGTGCTTTTTCTGAATGTGAATTCCTCTGAGCAGGAAGAGGACTGGTAACAGGAGGTAACAGTCAACACGGAGGTAACAGTCATCAACAAGGAGGTAACAGTCAACAACAAGGAGGTAACAGTCAACAAGGAAGTAACAGTCAACACGGAGGTAACAGTCAACACGGAGGTAACAGTCATCAACAAGGAGGTAACAGTCATCAACAAGGAGGTAACAGTCAACAAGGAGGTAACAGTCATCAACAAGGAGG